CCCCCCCCCGCCTCCCCCGCCCCCCCCTTTTCCACGCGCCCTCCCAAATCCTGGACTGACTGTCACGTGCAACACAGGCGAGACAAAGTTCATTTCCATGCCTAACTTCCAGGCGGGCGTCCTCATGTACTTCTCGTACATGCTGCTCTTCTTGCAGTATGCGCTAGGCCGCTTCTTGCCCAAGGCTGGGAAGAGCAAGGTGACAAGATACAAATCATGTAGTGATAATTGCCACCTTCTTGACAATCTACTTATTCGCCACTGGCAGGGTAAATGGTGCATCCCCCGTAGGCCGCTACATCCTTCTTTGGACCAAGTGTAACGTTAATATCCACGGCTGTCAGCAAAGGGAACTGGCGAAGCAAGACTCTTGGAATGTGTTTTTACTTTCTTACGGACATGCGTCCATCCGGCGGCGATTTTTTTATTTCCAGTTGCCCCAAGAGATGGATATGTTGTGAAAGGTAGTGTGTCCCGGAGAAGGCTTACTTTCCTCGTGCATTTTTTCTTGAAAATGAACAAAGCATCAGTGTGTACACCCCCATTACTACGGTGCTTGATTGGAAGCATATTTTGCCTTTGGTGGTCGCTGCTTGCTTCTGTGGGTTTGCTGTAGTTTTTTAGATTGGTCGTGTGACAAACCGTGCGTGCGTTCGTGTCGGAGAGTCCTGTGCTGTTGAATTGTTCTACTCTGTTGTCTGCCATCCTCCTTTGGCTCGACATCTTGGTGGTGACGGGGCTAGATTTCGGCGAGGAGCCACTACCGTAACAATCGATATCAATTGTATGCCTTTATTTTTTTGCTTCACTGCTCTACGCTCGTTATCTGGCTTATCGCGCAGATGTCGAAGGGAGGAGGAGGAGGAGGCTCGGTGGCAGGAAAGCCTAAAATAGCTGCTTCTGGTGATGGCGGTGCGGGTGCCGCATCTTCGGTCGACCGAAAACCACGATCAAAGGCGGAGTGATTTGGTTGGTCGGCGGGGCCCTCGCCACGGCGGCGGAGTTGTTCTTGTGATAGGTGGCGTTATTTCTGCATCATCGTCTTCTCGTGCGAGAGGAAAACAAAAAAAACAGTCAAGAAGAGTGATAAGTAATGAACAGTCACGGCAAACGATTATAGCCGATCACGTGTTCGAAGGAGCTGTGTGCGTGTGCGTGTGCGAAGCACGGGAAGCCCCTGGAAAGATGTTGGGCGAGCTGGCTTGTCGCCAATGGCGTTGGATTTGTTCGTGGGAAATGTGTGAGCAACTGGCAACAAATTTGACACGGGTTCCTGCTGATTTAGCAGCAAATCGATAGATGGTTGGCCGACTCATTGAGAAAGGAGGTGGTGGTTGTCGATCAGTAGCTAAATGTGTCGCCATGTGTATGTGTTTTACGCCCAGCACAATTAGACGCTAAACGCATGCTGCCTGGTACACACAATTTTCCCGAAAACTTTGGGAAATAGTTCCGAGGTAAATATTATGTTCTGAGACACGATTCTGAGGGTCGCGCGATGTGCTTCGGATTGAACGATCTCTTGGAATTTTGTCGCACTGCTGTATGATGATGTCTTGTATGGAAACTGTTGTGCTGTTGTCTATTTTGTCTATTTTTTCTCTTTTCTTCTTCTTTTTAGCTTGTTCCTTTTAAATCAATTCATGACTTGATTGACGCGACAGCGGGAAACCCGGCAAGTAGAAGTGGGCGTCTGGCGTGTTTTTGCGTTCCTCCTACAGCACAAGATTTCTTGGCTGGTTGGGGCTCGGCATGGTTTCCAGACTGATTCAACAGATCAAGGCAACCTTTGAACCTGCTGTGCGGCTCATGTGTGGTTTGACGTTTCCGTGGGAACAGCGTTCACTCCTACAGTCGGTGCAGCGGCGGCATGTTTCGCTGCTGTGGGTCTGACGAGTCGGCGAGCGAGGTTTGAAATGGTGGGCATCTGGGACGTATCGCGAGGGCAGCAATGCTGGCGAGATGAAATAAGGCACTGCTGTTCTCGGTGCTTCGTGCTCGCTCCCTCCCGGAATAATTCCCTTTCTTTTTGGTCATTTTTTTGTGTCGGGCCTACTCAAGCGCTTTATTAATGATCTACTGTAGTTGTTGATCGATCCACTTTTACCTCGGCCATGGCTGCTCTCTAGTGGGCTAGCTTAGAACGGCCGAGATTTGCCACTCACCTCGCTTGTAGCGGCGGGCTTGCGAAAAGAGCAGCCATGGTGGAGTATGTATCGGTTCATTGACGTCGCGCGGAGCGGCATGTCTGTTCTGTTGCCTGTGGACACGGTAAGCACTCTTCTGACCAGAAGTATGTAGTGGAGCCTCTCAGACTTGGCAAGCGATCGATTGATGTCGGCATGGGTGCGATACAATCGCCGGTGTCTCGATGAATCAGTGAGGAGTCTTGCGCGAGTACATACCCACCCGCGGAACAATCGGGATGGTCGATAGCTTCAGACATTGGTGCCTGCCTATGTACTGAATATGATGTTTCGGACACAGAAAAGGCAACAGGATGGGGGGAATTGGAGAGAGACCCTCTCCTGTCATAAGGCGTGCTCCCGTTGTCTCCTTCCGTTCGCCACGCTTGCCTGCTGCACGCATCCAAGAGGAATGACCTGTCTGTATATGTGGGACAGACCTAGGCACAAAAATCACTTGCTTTTTTTTCACTCCGTAGACTACGATGGTTTTTAGACGAATTGTTGCTGCTGTGCTCCAGAACCATGCTTTCGTTTCTCTGCCGTTTTTTGTTGATGACTTGGGAGAGTGGGACTGGTAGTTCTGTTGCTACTGGGTAGGCGGGTGTGATGCGAACACGTTTCTTTTCCGCGCGCCTGTGTCAACATCAACATTTTTTTCTTTATTTTCCTTTCGCGGAGGAAACGGAACAGGGATCGATTGATCCGTTTCTCCCCGTCATTGTTTCTACATTTATTTGTAGGCTAGGGACAACACTACATACCGCTGTTTTCGGTGTGGGACTGCTAAGCTTCATCAGTTTTTCGCCGTGTGTCTGTTACTCTGCGACGACGTGTATACAAGGCTTATCGCAGACCAGAAAAAATGGTCGCTCCCAGAAGCAGCGACTGATTCGAGATCGTGCATCCACCCCCTCCCGTGTCGCGTTGTGTGTTTTCTTGCGGGCGGGTGTTTTCACTCTGTTCGGGGGGTGGGTGCTTGGCGCGTGACTCTCATGTTGTGGTTGTATTGGCGGGTAGTGTAGATCGCCATACACTGCACCACAGCAATTTGGAAAAAGATGGCAAACGGATCCAATGAATCTAGGGGAGAGACGGAGTGGAGGGCCGTGACCAGCTGTGGTTGTATTTTTGGCGGTCCGTGCAAGGAGTGTTGGGAATGCTTGCGATTGTTGTTCCCTCAAGTCAGGGAGCGACGGTTGGGAGGGGGCATCACGTGAAAATCGCGAGACGGTAGCGACAGGGCTGACATGTGCCTAGACGGCCGCAGTGTAGAATGGACGACAATAGCAACGTCGTAGATATAGCAACGCGGTGGCAAGAGGAGATGCGGGGGAGGGACGAGCATGGTACATGCAAGAGGATGCCCCCCCCCCCAAGTTGAGGTACAGGAAAGAGTGAGTTTTTGTTGAGGGGAGGGAGAGAATTGGGGACGTAACATGTTTTATCTTGTTAGCGCTTCGTTTTGTGGAATGAAAAGGGGTGTCACCTGGGGATGATCGTGGCAACACCATAATGCACAACATCCGCGACGTGCAAACTGATGTCGTCGTGGATGATCAGTTCGAAGCAGAGACAGCAGACGGATCGCCGTGTCTCTCTAGCGTCTGGTGGAAACCCAGCTTCCGACAGACAGACAAGACCGTTCGTGACAAGGTTGTTACTTCAAGAAACATTTGGGTTGCATTGGGCGACCTGCTTGTTTTGGGAGCTACCGCAAGAGTCGGAGAGATGGCCCCCCCCCCCCGTGTTAGCGATAGTTGTTAGCCTATTTCACACGAGGGGGGTACCAGTGGCGAAAAGGTAAGTTTTGGAAACATCCCGTCGAGGGCTTTCCTGAGCGGTATAGATCTAGTGGATGGAGAAATATGCTAAAGGACAACGCAAACATGGGGGTACTATCTCTCCGACTTCTTACGGTATTCACTCGCTACAAATTGTTGCTGGACCGCGAAAGGAATTATTGCCGACGAAGTGAAATAAATCCATCAGCCTTCCTCCGGTCGGTGCTGTTTGTTGCCCGTCCGAACATACATCCCCAAAAGGAGGGTTGACAGATTGGGAGTAGTCACGGATGTATGCATACGGTCGTGCTTGTAGCCTCGGCCAGACTCAAATCCCGCCTTTTTTGTCCTCAGCATTCAAGCAAAGAGGGTGAGGTGAACGATAGTGAGACGCTTGTATCTTGCATGCACAGTACGTGGCCGATATATGAGAGGTATTGCAACCTGAATGGTGGAACTAACTGCCGAAATAAGAGAGGCATCAAAATCTCTTGTCATAATCTCAGCCTCAGCATTGAAATTACATAAACCCGACACACGTCGAATAGTGGCACCGCCCTGAACAGTGGCATACTGTCCCCTTCTTGCCCCTGCATGCGACTTCAATATCGGGTGACCTACTACTACTGTGCAATTTTGAGTTTGAAAATGTCCGGTGTCAAGGCCTCCTGCACTCTTGAGCTCTTCGTTCCAAAAAGGTGCCACAACCGAGCACCACTACCTTTTTCTTTGACACGATCATCCATGATGTCTCGATCAAAAAAAAGGGACTTAATACTTTCCGTACATGTGAACATACATTATGTGAAGAAGAAGCGAACAACACATATCTGAAGGGCGCGCGCGCAGCGCGCTCTCAGCAGACGGCATCATCGCCAGCAAGCAGAGAGATAGCTGGCTTCGCCATGATGCACGCAGCAGTCAGCCGGTCGCCCGAAAACAAAGCAACAGACGTAGTGACCCGGTAGTCTTAATTCCGTGTGGTGTGTCGTCCTTCCCTGTTCGTTAACTTCGTACCTCACGTCATTTTTCTTTACCCTCTTAAGGGGAATGAATGGCACACATTGCCATTTACCTGTGTTAGACGACACGACAGGGGTCACCGCACTTCCGCCTCCCGCCTCATTGTCCACGCGAACGAACCTACAAACTGTGATACCCTCCATCCTCCCTTGTTTTCTATACTACTGCTCCTGCTGCTGCTGCTGCTGCTGTGCGGTAATGTAGGTGTAGCACAATAAAGATGATGCTGTTCCATCAGAAATAAAACTCAAAATAAAAAGAACCCTAAAAAAATCCTGACCTCTTTCTTCACCTCACATCACGCCCCGGGTGTTTAACAATGTTCCCTACCCTTTTTCATTGAACTTTAGAAGACCAAGACAGACAGAACGTCGAACACGGACAAAGCAAGATGATAATAGCCGTACCGGCCAAGGGCAAAAAAATAAATAAAAAGAAAACAATTAAGGGCTCGTGCACGATACTGCTCGTTCGCTGCTCCCTGCCTCTACCTTCGTACAGAAAAGCCCCATTGGCGTTGTAATGATCGTCAACGGTGCCCCCGCCATGCGGAAGTTCCGTGCCCCGCCACTTCCTCCACTACTACACCCTGTCTACCGAGTTGACCCAACCAACATCCCAAGATGCGACGCGCCGTCGTATGAAGAAATGCCGTCGGCTATAGATCACCCAATGTTCCCAGCATCGCTCGGTATTATTCTCGTCCATACATGGCAACACGCCGCTACATCAACCCCCGGGAGGAACACGAGGATGAGGAGAGAGGGAAGCCGCGGGGAGGATGACCACCCAAACGAGGGAACAAACATGCATGAGGTCTCGCCAGACAGAAAGACAGACAAGCCAAACAAGAGAACAAACAAACAACTAACTACGATGCGGTTCGGAGACCACCAGAGAGAGCGACAGACGTGGCAGAACGCAACCATTGTTTTCCATGTGACAAACAACACTCTTCAGGAAACACGGGAAAAAAAATACAAACCAGTATCAGAGACACCCTGCCCCACCCCACCCCGCCCGTGTCGGGCAAGGTTAGCAGCAGCAGAAGCAGCAGCAGCAGCAGCAGCAGCGGCATCAGGCCAATCCAACGTCAACAAAGTCGTGCTCAATAGACACACAACGCAGGCACATGACGGTGTGTATGTATGCACGGATACCGCGCCACGAAGATGCAGATAACCAACAACAAAAAAAACAAGTGAACAACACTACTATGGAATCTCGATCTCGGCGTCACTTTTCCCTAATCGCTCCGTTCCTTCCCTCCCTCGCCACAACGCACTACTTAGGGCAGGGGGGGGGGCACGATCCAGGGTCGGGCGCACGCCACATGCAACTTTCAAGAACTTTCCAAGAATTTCCTTCTTCGACTGGGGGAGACAGGGAAACTCCCTACTACTTGAACACTTTGAAAGGAGCTACCTCTTGGAACACAACAACTAAAGAGTGCTCCAGATGGCGTGGCTGGCGAGGCGGGGCAACCGTTTTTTCTCTTCTAGAATACACATTAGCCCCAAAATAAAAAAGGAAAACATTACAGCGACACTACTTATTGACCGCGCACATCATATCATACGTATGTATATATATAAGAATCACCCTGACATGTAGTACCACACACAACACAACGCACTACTGCGGCTGGGAGGGAACTCTGACAGCACGTAGCACGGAACCCACTACACTCTTTTGGCATACTGATTCCTCTTCGGTCCTACTCCCCCCCCCCCTTATACCATTTTTTCTTGTACCCCCCCCCTCTTTCTGTTCTTACCGAAACCCGTGGAAACACAACCAAAGAGCCCGCTTTCCGTCCCATTTTGTAACCCACAGTGAGCGATTAAGAGTCAACACACTGCAGAAACAAAAACAAGAAAGGACTCCGTTACTGCTACATAAAGGGGTACAGCGGGCAACCGGCAAGGAGCGAGGATGGGGGGGGGGGTACCAGACACGAAAGACGACCCGCAACGGCGACGCCATCTCTTAAGATACGACAATAGCTGCAGTACATGACAACGCCATAAGAAGAAAATAAACATGCAACATGTCGTTGTATGAAAAGCAAGCAAAAGAGACCAGGTGCCCCAAAAAACACAAGGGCGGAGGAGGGGGGGCACGCGACGCGGCGGATTATCACGACGATCCCACACTAGCAACCCACCCCACAGTCCAAGACAAAAAACTTACAGAAGGTGACCCCGAGACCTCGCGCTATCGCAACCCTAACTGAACGAACGAACTGTCCCGTCCCAACAAGCAGGCACGACAAACCCATCTAATCGCCAGCCGGGTAGGCGCGACAACCACAAGGGGACTCCCCCCAATGCGCCAGGCAAGCGCCCTGCCCCGCTTGAGCAGAAAAGGGGCATGCGACACACCAACCCGGGGCCTCTCTATCCTATTGAACATCGGCGTTCCACAAGCATATCACGCCATATTTTTTGGCTCGAGGCGACAACATCCGGTTGTGTAAAAAATAGTGGTGGCAGACAAGCACAAAAAAAAAACAAAACAAAGAGCCAAGGAACGGAAAAAATGTCTAAGAAACCGGTGTGCGGCACCTTCCATATTTCGTTCTCCGGAGTGGAAAGCATCCGTGTGCTAAATCAGACAACAGACTGGAGAAGATATCTAAAGAGCGGCACAAACCATAGAGAGGCCTTCTTCGCGAGGGAGACACAGGCCTCCTCTCGAAATGCCGCGTGCAAAAAGGAGCACCTACTGCAATCCCACATCGCAGTCCCCCCCCGCAAAAGACTCCCCCACCCCCAGATCCGGAGAAGGGACAAAGGAAACACAAACTACAAGTAGGTCCGATGACACTGTCAGCGTCGGACACCCTAGGGCGCCTGTTGATGCCTATTAATTCAATTGCTTTGCTATGCCGCCTTCCCTTTTGCAAATGCTAACGACGGATTGGAACTCCGCTCTCTCAGCGTGACTGGATGGTAGCGGGTACAAATAACTCGATTCCGACTGCTGTTCGCCCCGCGACCCTTCGTTCTCCCCATTCGGACCCCTGCCAAGATGAAACAAATGAAACAAAGTGTAAAACACACGCCAAAACAATGCTACTTTATCATCGGTGACTCACATTATCGAGCAAAGCATGATGCCTACACGTCGACGCCCGCTTGACTCCTTATCATTTTATCGTCACGGACAAGACACCACAACACGCCTCCCCCCCCCCCCCCCCCCCCCCCCCCCCCCCCCCCCCCCCCCCCCCCCCCCCCCCCCCCCCCCCCCCCCCCCCCCCCCCCCCCCCCCCCCCCCCCC